CTACTAAATCAATTTTCGTTAATTTTACTAAACTGCATGGCAACTTGGACTGCACTTAGCCCAGATCACCTGTCAGTCAAGCAGCGTGGGTGGTGCTGTGATGCTGACAAGAACATTGTCGCTGCCATGCCTGAAATAAAACACTTTACACCAGCTGTTTGCCACAGCGTCTCTCTTTTTCTGGCAACATTACAACTGATAATTTGATATCAGAAACCCACTAATAGTTACTATCAACTATCTCACGCGAGAATAAATGCCTTTAACTGTTTATCAAATCGAGAAACCCACTAATAGTTACTATCAGCTATCTCACGTGAGGATAAATGCCTTTAACTGTTTATCAAATCTGTTTTTCTTCACGTTTTCTCCTTCCTGTGGTATGTACTGTCAGGTTTTCTCACACAAAATCCACATTAAGCATTAAACGCTTTTTTCTTGTCATGCTTTTTTCATACCTTTCTCACTTCTTCCACACTTTGAGATTCCGCTAGGCTGACTAGCATAACTCTCCCAATTGTTTGCTTAGCATGCTTTCTAACTTGAGTAACAGCTCTGGCACTGTCAATATTTCTCTCACAAACGCATGCACACACAGATTCTCCCATGAGGCTTCTCCTTAAGGAACTCAGGTAAAGATAACATGTCTGAGACACAAATCTAATTTTCTCACCCTCCCACTCATTTGATTCAGTCAGCTTTCTTTCACAACACACACACACACACACGCATACATATAATCAGATGGAGTTGTTTCCAAAAGCCTTATTCAAGTTTAAAAGCTGAGACCCAGTCATTCATACGCATGAGCCAAGAAAGAGCCAAAAGAGGAAAAAAAGCAGAAGCAATGTGTGCAGCTCAACCAGATGTCATCCACTCACCCCCCATTCTCACACACAAGCCTGTAGCGTCCTTATCTTCACAGCATTTGTTACAGTGGATGAAGCCACAGATGAATCTAAACTGACAACACACACACACACTCATTCTTTCCTCCCATTTTCCGCTCCATGGTCTCTTACCCGTGACAGTGATCAGCATGGGAGCCACCAGCGGCCTGTTGTTATCCAGTTTTCGGCTCAGTCGGATCTCTCCACTTGTGTGATTCAGGAGCAGCAGGTGAAGCTCATTCCCCCTGTCGATGGTGTAGTACAGCCTGTCAGACACATCAGGATCATGGGCAGGTACCCTCCCTATTACCCCGGTAGGGAAACTGTTGGACCGATTGGACACAAAGTTGTTGAAAATTATTTGGAAGTCCTGCAGAGTGGGCCTGTTGTCATTCTGGTCCACCAATCGGATCCGCACAGTGGCCCGGCTGACCAGAGGTGCTGAGGTGGCCTGGACTACGATAACGTACTCATTACGGGCCTCATAGTCAAGGTCAATAAGTGAAGTGAGCTCCCCAGAAAAAATATCCATTTGGAAGATTTCAGGGATGTTACCCTCCACAATTTGGTACATGATCTGAGCATTGGCACCCTCGTCCGGGTCAGTGGCTGTGATCTGGGCTACCACAGAACCTACGGCGCTGTTTTCCTTCACTAGAACCTCAAAGTCATCAGCTGGAAAGACGGGAGCATTGTCATTCACATCAAGAACTGTAACCTGGATGTGGACAGGCGTTCGTTGAGGGGGCACGCCACGATCTACAGCATAGGCGGTGAGCTCATAGAATGGCACGCTCTCACGGTCCAGTCGACGAACAGTTCGGACAATGCCAGATGTAGGTTCAATGGTAAAATCACCATCACCATCTTCACCATTTTGGAAGGTGTACTGAACACGACCATTGGCATGTGCATCACGATCAGTTGCTGAGATTTGGAGGACACTGGTGAAGGGAGGGGCATCTTCGCTCACTGTTCCCTGATACCTGGGGCTGAGGAACTGAGGTGCATTGTCATTCACATCATTCACATTAACCTCTACATATGTAGTGTCAGATTTTTGTGGTATGCCATTGTCCTTAGCTGTTATAGCCAAAGTGTAGGTCATCTGGTCCTCGTAGTCTAGTTCTGCCTGGAGTGTTATAGCCCCTGTAGCTGGGTCAATGCGGAATTGTGGGATGTTGTCCTCAAGATAGTACGTGATTCGAGCATTTTCACCAACATCATCATCTGTGGCACTGATCACAACAACAGTGCTTCCAGGTGGTCGGTCCTCATTAACACTAACAGAGTAGTGGGCGCTTTGGAACACAGGTCGATGTGTATTGGCATCTGTGATGTTAATGTGCACCTGACAGGTGTCATGGAGTGTGCGGTCTGAGGCAGTGACTGTAAGAACGTAACGTCGCTCCTGTTTGTAATCCAGTGGAAGGGCTAGTGAGAGAAGTCCAGACCCTCCTGCTGTGCTGATGGCAAAGCGGTTTCTGGTGTTTCCTCCTGTTATCTGATAGGTCACTGCACTGTTGACATCGCGGTCCACAGCTGTGACAGTCACTACACTGGTGCCAACGGCTGCGTCCTCATTTAGGCGAGCATAGTACTCCTTTTGGAGGAACTCAGGGCGGTTGTCATTAACATCCATCACTGTAATAGTAACGCTTGCTGTAGCAGAAAGAGGCGGCATGCCGTAATCCCTGGCCTCCACGCCAAAGAAATAGTGCTCTACAGATTCCCTGTCAAGAATGGAGCTGACTGTCACCCAACCTGTTGCAGAATTAATAATAAATGGTGTGTCAGAGCTGGTGCCAGTTAACCTGTACTCCAGCCGGGCATTATCACCAGAATCTGTATCAATGGCCTGGATGTGGAGGATGGAACTTCCAACTGGAGCGCTCTCAAGCACAGAAGCCTGGAATGGTGTGGAGACAAAAATCGGTGGGTTGTCATTGACATCTGTCACCTGTACACTAACAATCCCAGTGTTGTTTGACAGAGGTGGTCGGCCATTGTCCTGCGCTCGAACACGAAGAGTATACTCCCGCTCAGATTCAAAATCTAGTGATGCCACCACCTGGATCTCTCCAGTGACACTGTCAATGGAAAACTGCCCACGGCTGTTGCCACTGATGATATTATAGTGAACGGCAGCATTACTGTCCTTGTCCCGATCTGTGGCACTCACACGAAGGATCTCAGAATGAGGCCTCACATCCTCTTTCACTGCCACCACATAGCGCTTTTCACTGAACTGTGGCACATTATCATTTTCATCCAGAACAGTGATAAAAACTTTGACAGTGGCAGAGCGAGGCCCTGGGTCCTTCCCCTGGTCACTAGCCTCCACCTGGAGAGTGTAGTGCTCATTTGTTTCCCGATCCACCACTCCACGAGTTGTAATGAGGCCAGAGCGTGGGTCAATCTCGAAGGCTGCTCGTGCCATTGCAGCTGTGTCACCAAAAAAACGATAACGAATATTGGCATTGGATGGGGAGTCTGAATCCGTTGCCCTCAGCTGTAAGATGGGATACCCTTCCTCTACATTCTCCCTGATTGTCTCCCTGTACTCGGTTTGCTCAAATATAGGAGAATGATCATTTCTGTCTGAAATAGTAATGGCTACCATAGTGGTGCTGGAGAGACGAGGGGAGCCATAATCAGTTGCTGTGACCCGGAAGTAATGCTGATCCATGTGTTCTCTGTCAAGAACCTGAGTGGTGGTGATGAGACCTGTGTCTGGGTGGATGTGAAAATAGTCAGATGATCGACTGTTCATCAGTGGGGCCATTGTGTAGCTCACCCTGCCTGCATCTCCTGCATCTGAGTCTGAGGCAGACATAATAATGACTGAGGTGCCAGGTGGCTGGTTCTCTGCTACTTGTACTTGGTAGTTATACTGGGAGAAATGGGGATGTCTGTTGGCTGCACGTCGAGCACGAGACCAAGGCATTAAAATCTCCCTCCCCCTTTCTTCCTGTGCGGTTTCATCATCTGCTACTATTATCAGTCGTTCCAGGCTCCTTTCTCCCCTTGAGCTGTGCCTCTCCCCCTCCTCGCCCTCCACCTCTCTCCCACCGCCCTCTTCTCCCTCGTGGCTTTCATCTGCCTTCCTCTCTTTCTTCCCTCTTTTGCTATCTGGCTGTGTGATGGTGGCGGTGCTACTGCCCCTATCCTGACCCTTCCCTTCCTCTGCCTCTCTCTCCCCTGGCTGGCTTGCCTTTGTTGCTCCCCCTTTTCTCTCCCACTCCTCCTTCCTTTCCTGTTCTCCCCCTGATTCGCTCCCTCCCACCAGCTGCACCTCTCTCTCGCCCTCCCCCACCTGTAATTTTCCTCCCCTAGCAGCAGCAGCAACATCAGCGGGTCCCTCCGAGCCCTCTCCCTCCCTCTCTCCATCGCTCTCCCATTCTCCCTCGGCCCCCATCTGCCGCCTATCTGACTGTCTGACACCTTCGGGCTCTAATGGCACTTGCTTACTGGATTTTAATTGCATATGTGCATGGTCGCCCCTCTCGGTGGCTGAACAGTCGGTGGAAACGCTGTTAGCGCACCCTGCGTGGACCATCTCACGCAGCGCGCTCTCCCACAGGTCTTCCTGCTGTGTCTGACCATGCCACGGCAATTTTTCTACTTCAGATTCGTGACTATATCTATATATCTCCTTGCTTCCCTCCTCTTCCTTGTTGTTATTACTGTTTGTGTTGAATTTGCTCCACACAAACTCGCGCTGAGAGTCGAGGGGAGCTGTCCATCGTGCTGAAATCACATCCTCCACAAATGGCAAATGAAGCGAACTTCGGGAGTCACCCTGCGGTGTGGTCAGATTAATTTCCGAGAAAAACGAGAGGTGTTCTGCTGGAGTGTGAGTCGGCTGAGTGAGAAGAAGTAATTTAATTGAAGTTGCAGAGCGAGACGTGGCTGACGCGAGACTGGGGGATGTAACAAAAAACTTCTCAGGCGAGGAAAAGCCTGAGCCAACGGCAAACTCTGCTTCAGAAGTAACTTTTTCAGCAGATAGACGGGGCGGTTTGGATAGTTTTCTGCCTTCTGCATGACCGCCTGTTTGTGTTTGAGAGGGTGTATTGTGACGCACCCGGACAGCACGTTTAGATACGGAAATGGCGCTTGTGATAGATAGAAAACGTTGGCTGCGCAGCTCAGTGATATTACTGGTAGTAAATTGGATGGGGAAATTCATCTGAGCTATGACTCCCCCAGGGACCATAAACTCGACTAAATATCCATCCCCCATATCTATTTTGTTCAAACAACCAAGGTAACCACCGGGAACCTCCCTCCTCTCTCCCTGGGTTTGACTGCTCTGCCCTCTGGTTTCTGGTGCTGAATTCCCCTGTCGAAGCTCATTATCACCCCTACACACGAGCTTCAGAATCGGAAAAGCCAAATCATTATCCGGATAATTAGATAAATTAATGTGTTGGTTGCCTTGGTTCACCCCTCCTCCTCTTCCATCCTGTCCCTTTCTCTTATCTTTCTCCCTTCCCTCATCCATAATTCTGGCAAGGTTATACTTTGCTTGTGAATCATATAGAGGGGGTCCACAACAACCTAGGTGTTCCCTGGTACCGAGGTTAATCACTGCACTACATCTGTACACTTCCTTGCTGTCCCCCTCATCCACCCCACTCATCGTCCCCCCCTCCTTCTCACTGCTCCTAATGCACACAGTCAAACAGCTATCATCACCCACCTCTCTGTTGCTGCTGGGGTCGATAACATTGTGCCTACCCAAATGAGAACAATTACCAGTCCCCCTGGTCACCCTGTTTGAGCCGCCATCAGCATCCCAAGCCTCGCTCTTGTTGCTGCTGTGCATGTCATCTGGATGCGGCTGAATCTGATCTGTGCAGTCGATCTGGGAGGAAATGCAAACTGGATGACACAGATGTTCCAATTTTAACCTCTGTATACAATCTGAATTGTTGGTGAAACGAATGTCAAATCTGAAGGCGTAATTTGAAGTTTCAGCTTGCAGTGTACTGTATCCAGAAAGAGCATGAATGCAACAAGAGTAACTGGTTGGCAAGGGGCCAGCTGAGCGGGTGTTGGCCACAGAAAAAGCTGGTTTGTTGGGGTTTAACCTGCAGCTGTGCCCAGGTATCAGGGAGCACCATGTAGAAAAGAGTCTCATCGCTTCGTGAGATCTCTCCCAGATCTCTCCCTGTATCCTCCCTCCACTTCCGGGTGCCCTGCACAGGCCAGAGGCGTGCACAAAGGCGCTGGCGGCGCCCCGTTTAGCGAGGTGTGGCCTTGACGCCAGCCACTGTTGCGCGCACGCTATGGTCCTTTGTACAGCCAGTTTTTTAATATTTTGAACTGGCGTGGAGGTGAAGGCAGGTGAAGCGAAAGGGGAAACAACGCCCTTCCTCCCGATCCCCCCGCTCTCCACCCCCTTTCCTGAGCCGGGGCCATCTAAGATCGACCGACTCGCAATACCTTGGTGAAGAGGAGTAGGAGGTAGTGGTGATGATGCCGGGGGACCGTCTCCACTCTTCCAAACCGTTCCAATTCCATTCAATCTCTTCTCCGGTGTCTCTCTCGCTTCATTCCGGTAACATCCCCCCAGCGTCCCTACTGCGTTCTGCACTCCAGAACATCCTTCAGTTTGTATCCGCTCTATGATCCACTTGCTTGGGCGTATATACCAGTTTCCCCACGGAGACTCACCTGCCTCCTCGCACTGCTGATGATGTTGCTGTTGGGTCACTTTACCGGCGTTTCGATAGCAGGGGCCCAGGGTCCACTGGTTGGAAGCCCCACCTGTATTCCCCGTCCCCGGGGTGAGGGCGAACAAAGGGCCGAAGCGAAGCAGGTGGAGTACCAGAGACGAGAGCAGGAGCGGGGTGAAGCCCGGTAGCGGTGCAGCCATTTAGTCTCTTCCTTTCTCTCTCTCCCCCCCTTTCTCCCTCTTCCACCTCTGCCTATTTTCTCTTTCTGTCCCTCGAGTGCGCCTTCCCTTCTCCCCGTTACTTCTCTCTCTCCCTCGTTCCAGCTAGGTGGCCAGTTCCAGGACCGCCGGCACCGCCCGACACCTTCCCCCAGGCTCCCCCGTCTCTCCGTCGGCCTTGAGAGTTGGCATCTACCCGCTGTGGTCCGTGGAGCTGGAGGTCTAAGCGTTAGGAACGGCGTGGCAGCAGCATCTCCCCAACCGTTCATTCACACCCAACATGGCTTACACACACACTGGCTGGCTGGTTGCTTCCCTCACTATCCTTCAGAGTGTGTGTGTATGCTGTATGTGTGTGTGTTCCACTAGCAGCGGCGGCACAGCCCGGTGGTAGCCTCCTCTCCATCCATCCACACACACACACAATTACACTCTCCTCCTCTCTCCTTTTTCCACCCCTCCCCCTATTGCTTGCATCTCTACCGCCTCTCTCTGTCCATCTCTCTTTCACTCTCTCTCCTCTTTCCTCTGTCATAATGGTTGGCTCCGGCGCGCAGGGCCGCCACAGCACTCGCGGCGGCAGCCATAGAGGAGGGACGAATAGCCTTTATATTACACAGTCACACCGTCATCACCGTATCACCTGAAGAGTTAGCATCTTAACAAGCAGCTGTGCAGGTTTGTTACCGTTCACCATGCTTTATCTCAGCAATGCGGCTGATTCCTAGAAATAAGACCTAAAAATGGGAGATGGCAATATTCTGATATTTTAAAATAAAATAAAATCATACACCGATGAGAGTGATTTTAGCTAGATTGCATAAACTTCCTAGAAACTTTACTAAGAGAGGAAAACAACATAAAAATACCAGTGATTTTCAGCAAAGAGTTAAAATGTTACGATTCTTTTTTTTTTTTTACTTATTTGAATACAAAGCTCTACTTTCGCAGCATCACTGGTCCATCAAGGACTAGATTTGTTTATTTTGTGATATTGACTTGTGCCTACGTTCAGCTGCACACTATTCCAGTGCGATTAACTCTTAAAGATCGGGTTAGCTCCGGGAAAAGTGACGTCATCTCCCGTATTATCAGCGATGAGTAATTTACACACACAATCCATGGAAATTTCAATTCAGTGACTATTATAAACGGTGTCTTTCTATGGAAGCATAAACTACCCTATATATCTTTCATAGATTTAGTCCGATAGAGATTCATATATTTGCTGTAGCCACAAAGATTTCATCTAAAATGCATTTTTATTATTATTGTGATTCAGTAGAAACGGCACATGCGTGCAATCTGGCAGTCATTCAAATTTAAATTAATGCTGATTTGCGCATGGCTAAATGTGCAGATCCATTTCTTGATACTTGTTGAAAAAGCACATACTATGCAAATAGCCTATGTAGGCTACAAATTTCCTCCAACTCTGACTCTGGATGGTTTAGTTTTTCTAATGACACATCTGAAATGGAATATAATCTGTTCCTGTGGCTGACGGGAAGAGATACAAGGCGTGTCACTCGGAGACGCTGTGTATCAGCGTCTAGAGAAGCAGCGGAGCAGCCAGATCTGAGCTGCGTGACTGAGCGTGCATCCATATCCCTCCTGTGTTCTGCTTTCCCTCAGTCTCTGCTGTGTGTACGTTACTGGGTCTTAGTGTGTATGCCTGTTTCCTTTGGTTTCCATGGTACTTCAGAGGCACTAATGTTAACACAGTGATAGGAGGATGAGAGGAAATCCTTCAAACTGAGGACATTGTTTAATTTCTCACTTCAGTGAGGGACTGGTTTTGTCTAACTAACATTAATCCTTAAAATTAGGATCAGCCTTCAATTGGAATAACGTTATGGCCAAATGTAAGTTATTTATGAGGGAACGATTACCAACTGCTGAGTATCAAAACATTTGAGTACTGTACTAAACCTGTATAGTACCAAGTTTTGAAACATGTCACAAAGCAACATCACTACATGTATGCTTGCTCAGATTTGATTGTATTTCTTTGGCCACATAAGTTCTAATTTAAATAATATTTTTGCAAAAAGCAAAAAGAAAAAGTATTGATATTGTACAAATGTCAGGTACCAAATCAGGACTGAGATATAAGAAAAATCTTCACTGTCATTCAAAATGTTGGTAGAAGCCATATACTGTACAGTATTATTGTTAATTGCTGCGCACTTAAATGTTGCTTGTTGCATATTGCTGACTAAACATCAAAGATCACAATGAAAACAAGTCAGAGATTGTATTGTACTGTCCTTGCCAATTAAGTTGAGGTGTGTAACCAAAACTGTCTCACTTTCTAGTCATGGCAGTGTTTTATGTGTGTGTGTGTTCCAGTCAGTTTGGATCACTGCCTTTTTCCCCTCAGAGCTGGTAGAAGCTTGAGCACAGCTACAGCAATATGGTGCTCCAAAACGCAGACTGTCCTTTTCCAAACAATAATTGAATGCACAAATTAAAATGCTCTCCCTCCCCTCCCTCTGTGCAAGCCTTCCTTCATT